AAATGCAAGTGGGATTATAAAGATTTGTAAAATAAATATTTTTTTTAATATTCTTTTGTAAACATTCCAGTATGCAAAATACCAGCAGTAAGTGGAAGCTCCCAATGTGTCTGTTGATTACTGTTTTCTACTATTTCTTTTTTCTCTTTTGCAATGCTAGAAAAAATATGAAGATTTAGTCTATCTGATTGGCAAACCCAGCATTTAAGTTTTATAGACGTCATGAACTTTCCAAGGAGATAGTAACTCTACAGAACCATATAAAAAAAAGTTCTTTCTGATATCAACAAAGACATTTTTTTTAAAAAAATCACAAGTCTTTTTCTAGGATGGCATCATACAATTTATGTTTTATTTCATTTTTAAAACCATTGGTTTTTCCTTTAGTCTTTGGACATGGTCTAGATAGAACATACAGATGAGTTTGACACTGATGGAAGAGACTTATGATTGAGTAAATATATGTGATGCAGGTAGTGCTAGACCAGGGGTCTGTAACTTTAAACACTCAAAGAGCCATATGGACCTGTTTCCCACAGAAAAGAAAACACTGGGAGCCAATAATTTAACAACTGGTATGACTGGGTGGGCATGGCCAACTCGACATCACTCACTTCCACTCTGTCACCTCCTGCTCTGGAATATGGAGCAAGGCCCCATCCCCCGCCATAACCCTTACCTTCTCAGGCCAGGCGAGGAGTGATGGGAGGGAGTGGAGGAGCCAGCCAGGGGTGGGATCAGCCAACAGGGAGCTGCAGCAGAGGGCCAAAAAAGCCACATGTGGCTCCAGAGCCGCAGGTTGCAGACCCCTGTTCTAGACTGACTATATTGAGACCAAAATTTCCATTTGTCATGCCCTTGTTAAAGTCAGACTCTGAGGGAGAGGAGGAACAGCCGACAGGGAATGGAGTTGTGGCTCCAGAGGTTGTGGAGGAGCCTGGGGAGGGGCAGACGCCAGCTGGGCAGTCAGAGGAAGAACCAGGCCCATCCCCTCTTCCTCCTAGGACACGCAGGGAGGAACGGAGAAGGAAACAACTTGGCTTACAAGAGAGGAAGCAGCCATGATCCCCCTCATTGTTACAGCTGGGGGAGAATAGTATATAAAAGAGAGACGGTTAAAACACAACGTTGCCAAAGCAAAGCATGTGTTATTTTGGGCTGAAATTATCTTGGTTGGTGTCCTTCCAACAGACTGTGCCTTGTTATCTCCTTGAAGTTGGTAATTACTTATCCTGGTCTGTTGTGGAAATTCCTTCATTGTAGTTTGTTTTAGTTTTTTTATTTCACCTCTATCTGCTCATTAAGTTCGGACTGTATTGCTTTTTTTTGAAGACTATTTTTGAGTATGTTTTATCTCCAGCTGAGAATTATTGAACATTGGGGCCAAGTTGGAGGCATTAAAGGACATTTATTTACATTTTGGATTTTGTTATGTTTGTGTTACACTCTGGGTCATCACACCATTGTTAAGTAAGACAGTTGTTAAGTGAGCCTGATTTTACAGCCTTTTTTGCCACAGTTGCCAGGGTCACGTGATCAAAATTCAGGCACTTGGCAACTGGTTCATATTTATGGATGATTACAATGTCCTGGGGTCATGTGATCACCTTTTGCAACCTTCTGACAAGCAAAGTCAATGCAGAAGCCAGATTCACAATAACCATTTTACTAACTTATTTATTTTATTTATTTATTTATTTGATTTGCCAATTGTTTACAAGATAATAAGTATAAGTGTATACTTAGTTGTGAATACATGAAATGGTACATATAAGAAAAATAAAAGAAGAATAAGAGAAACAATAGGACAGGGACGGTAGGCACGTTGGTGCGCTTATGCACGCCCCCTTAATCCGCAGGGGTTAACTTAACACCTGTGGCAGGAAAGGTGGCAAAATGGAGCAAAACTGACTTAACAGCCGTCTCACTTAGGAACAGAAATTCGAATCCCTAGCGCCGCGTAATGGAGTGAGCTCCTGTTACTTGTCCCAGCTTCTGCCAACCTAGCAGTTCGAAAGCATGTAAAAATGCAAGTAGAAAAATAGGGACCACCTTTGGTGGGAAGGTAACAGCGTTCCATGTGCTTTCGGTGTTTAATCATGCCGGCCACATGACCACGGAGACATCTTTGGACAGTGCTGGCTCTTCGGCTTGGTAATGGAGATGAGCACCACCAGTGGTGGTATTCAACCTGTTCTGCCCGGTTCTGTAGAGCCAGTAGGAGCGATGAGCAATGGAGACCGAACCGGTTCTCTCTGTTGCTCTAATGACTCTGCTGTTGGGCCCACCCGTCCGCCTGGGCTCCCACACTCACCTTTATTCGCTGAATTTGAAGCGCAGCTGCTTTGCGCGGCGTAGAAGAGTGTCGCGCGGTAGCTGCTGAAGTGATCGGGATCATGCAGGCTTGCAGGAGGCAAGTTAGAACACCTCTGCGCCTGCGCAAAATGCACGTTTGGCATGCACATGCACGCAAAGTGCACGCACATGCGCAAAGCACGTCCATTAAGCCACCCCCCACTGAACCAGTGGTAAAAGTTTTTGAAACCCATCACTGAGCACCACCCCCTAGAGACAGAAACAATTAGCACGCATGTGTGAGGGGAACCTTTACCTTTTTACTACATTCTAATCACTGCACCACCACAGCTCAAGCACCGAGAAAGCCAGAGAGATCTAAACAGCTACAATGACCAAAGAACCAAAATACAGAAGAATAGATATTAACAGCGCCCAGGTTAGGTTTATGGTCCAGGAAGCAGGAAAATGCTGGATTGTGTTATATAGATTTCCCATTTAATCTATCATGGCTCTGATCTTCCATTTAAAATAACGCATAACAGTTATTATAACAAATAATGATTGGCAATGCTTTGGGGAAAAGACTAAAGTTTTACTCCTTGAATTAATATCTCGGGAGCCATAAACTGCAGCAATGTACAATGTAGGCAATAGATACGAAGTAAGTTATAAACTTCAATGAGATGGGACCTCATGATTGCAAAAGGAAAGGGCGCCTTGATTATTCCATGAGATAAAGTTAATTGAAGAAAGTTTGATTAGTGAACCATCCTTTTTTTGTTGTTGGGTAAGTCATTTGAAAGAGTAAAAAAAGATGAAGAAAAACTATAAGGAAAAATAATTGGAGGATTAGCTTTTCTTTCCCCCTCCCACTACATATATTATTATGATAGCCTTATGAAAGGAGAATTTAAAACCCTGATTTACAGCAGAAAAGGCAAGTTTAAAAATAGCAGCATCAATGCGTCTTTAATCAGTATGTTTTTTTAAAAGAATTGTTTTAATATCAGTTCATCAGATATATGGAACCACCACGCACAATCAAAATGCAAATCGACACCAGCCATTTGTAATCTGGATGGAAGAAAGGCAAAACGTGCAATGTGCATAATTTTCCCATATATATATATAGACTTTCCTCAATTTCTTAGGCTTTCCAGAATGTGTGTATGTATGTATGTATGTATGTATGTATGTATGTATGTATGTATGTATGTATG